CCTAAAAACCCTAAAACCCAAACCAAACTTAAAAAACTTAAAACGTAACGACGTACGTCGCCGTCCTTAACTTAAAGTAAAGAAGAAAAATAATATATATATATATATATATATATATATATATATATATATATATATAGTATTTAACTATAAGTTTTATAATATTTGTTTTTTTTCTAAAAAATATCTGTCTGTAATTTTCAGTAACTGCAATTCCTTAATTAGTAAACTATATAAGATTGTGATAAATGTAAGAGTCACAAATTTCACCCTTTCATAACTATTATAGAAAATATCTATATTCTGTACTAGTTATGGAAGGGAGAAATTCAGATATAATCTGTTTTTTTTTTCAAAATTTCTATGCAGTTTCTGCATTAATTAATTAATTTTTTTAAACGGATGTCTAAAGATCGTAAACATGTACAATCCCTTTACTTAAGTAAAGTTGCATGTGCGTATAAGGTTCTGTGTAAGAGTCCTATAGGGAAAGGAAAGCCCATCTCAAGAGTTGTTTCAGATACCTCTACAGATTGATATAATTTAGGGTTGTCATTCCGATAAATGTTGTTTTTGAATAGTTGATAACGAGTGCCTTTTGTCTGAATTTGTCTAAAGTAAAATGTGCTTTGTCCTGATCCTGTGTAAGCATTTTTGAAAGATAAATAATTAGGGGTCTTAAGCTCGTACGCAGAATGTTTGAAAAAGGGTTTCTAATTTGCGAGACCAAAAGTCAACACATATTGTGTGAAGCACAATCGGCTTGCCCCCCAGAAAAGTTGTAAAATATAAGTGGCATAATATTAAATTTGGAAGCAATTTTGCATGAAACATAACTTAAACAATTGCATGGTTGTTCACATAAAATCTACCAACATCCGATGAAAAGTCAACAAATCATCCTTCTGTTGTAACACTATATGAGTAGCTAGATTTAAATTAGCATAACTATATATGTTTTATGATAGGAAAGTACTGTACTACCTACATGCAAAGTAGTTATTAATTGTTTAATAATATTACTAATCTAAACAACTTTGTACAACAATAGTATATTAGTTATTCCAATAATTGGCTATCATATACGTATATGTATGCACTACCGAAATAACACGTTAGTATGCCCCATTCTTCTAGGGTGCTTTTCTATAAATAACTTGCATATAGTTTCAATGTTGATAGCAGTGTCATAATGATTATGTATTAAAGCTAGAGTACCTAGTCTTTCTGCTGTTTGTGTACACCTCAGGGTAATTATTCAGCCGGCGGAGAGCAGCTACCGAACGTACACTGAAGCACGCTTTTAAGCAGTCAGACAGTATTTGGAGCCTGCCGTAGAGAGGTATCGAAAACCATCTTGTCCTCTAGGGATGAAATTCTTTATAAAAAATATTAGGATTTGGCATATCTTCCCCTTAAAAATCTATACCCTGTCTGATGTCAGAGATAGAAAACTCTTGTGTGAGTTTTGATGGCATAACTTTCTGAATTGATGCTGCTTGCTTTAGATGTGCATCAAATCTGGAGGAAAGATTACTGATAATGTGGTCAGAAACAAATAGTTACTGTTTTCTTAAAGTAATCCTCCACGGAACTATATTTTGCATTTAAACGTTGGGTTTATTGTTGACTAACTTGTGGCATGCTAACAACAATATTAGATTTGTGTACAATATTACTGCTGTGCTTGAGGATGCGATGTGAATAATCATCTACGTTCACTCTTGGTTAAGTCAGTTCTTTACAGCATTGTTCTATTACAGAAACGCTACGTTCACTGTTTGTGAAATCAGTTCTTTACAGCATTGTTCTATTACAGAAACGCTACGTTCACTCTTGGTGAAGTCAGTTCTATTACAGAAACACTAGAAATAAAAATAGGAGATCTGCCGAACCCCCTAGGTTCCCCTTACGTACGTGCATGGGTCTGTCAGAAAGTGAGATAGACTTGACGGAATATTACTGAGAATAAATAGTTGGTTTATTTGTTCACATGTGTTTCTTTCCCTTGTTATTCAAATTTGATTTATTCATTGTTTAAACGTCCCGAACTTACATTATTGCGAATACTTTGACCTTCTCTACTGTACTTCAGTAAATCTGAACACCAAAGACTAGTTTAAAAAAAAGAGAGCAATTTTTGTCCTGTAATATATAACATGTTATTGTAGAGTTTATTTTGAACGTGTTCCTTTTACCTGTTTGCTTATTTCGAATAATGAGTTTTCTATTCATGATCATGGAAAGATCCTCTTTGAAACCATGTACAGCGTATGGCAGAGAGGAGGAAATATGCAGCCACAGTGAGGACTAGGTTAGAGAATGCAACAACGACTAGGAGAGTCACCTTCCTAAACCAAAAATTATTATCAACAATGGTGGAAAGCAATGCCATTGTTTTCTAACCGTCCTTGAAATGCGAGGTTGATGAGTTTCCTCGATGTCCGATATACAACCTCCAATGCTTACTTCTCGCGCTTTTGAGCATAGGGCAGGAGAAAGAGAGGTCATAGTCGTGTCGAGCAACTTGAAGGTTTCGAGGCTCATTGGGGTAACTAAGTGCTCATTAACAAGCCTAAGAATAGCTAGGCACTGAATTGCAGCAACAGTGGTCGAGGAGAGTAAGAAGGCACACAAGCTGGATGAAAATCAGTTTTTGCTACAAAGCCTTCAGATGGAGCAGCTGTTACTATGCTAGTACAGTAGTAGGAATCAGTTAGGGACCTTCCAAACCGACGAAACAAACTGACTGCCTTTTGAAACCACGTTCATTGATGAAAGACACCTTAGAATGTGATGACGAAGTGTGATATGATACATCTTGTCACCACAATGGTAAGCATGGCATATGCTATCGCACGCCTGGTTATCAAAGGGATGCACACGATTTTAGACTTTCAGAAGAAGACAATGCTCCCAACTCTTGCCCAGTGGCTGGGGACTCGAGAGGATACAATGATGGTGTTTTATAACACAATGTGTTATCATAATGCCATGCTTTACAGTGCAGTGAGTCATCTCATTCAGAACTTAGCGCAAGAACGTCACAATCATGATGATGCACGCATCTCTGAACTCTTAGAAGAAGATAGGCTTTCCCAAATATGCACAGATTCTCAGCCACATGGAAGTAGAGAACTGTGTATCAATTTCCTGTTGGCACCATTATATAATTATGGAGGTGAGGTAAAACAAGTAGGTCCACCAGTGTTTAAGGAGATGACAAAATAGGACTTAGACTATTTCCTCAAACATTTTAAGCAAGTTATTGTGTGGAATAGATGTAATCATAGACAGGCAGTGCAACATCTGAGGCTTAGTTTTGACAGTCCTGTGCTCTATGCCTTAGAACATTTGTATGAAGGGCAATTCGATGACTGGGACAAAGTTGTCAATGGATTTACTGCAAATTCGATCCTGTCAAACCAGGGTAATCTACAGGGACGAGTTCAAAGCTCAGAAGAAAGGGTTTCAAGATAATTTGGCTATTTATGCAGATTATTTAGGGAGATTGCACAGGAAGGAATTCACAAACACGTCTCTCGTAAATCATGATGAAATAATCACCGATAAGTTCTTTGAAGAGCTGTTAAGTGAATCCCTGTAACATCACATTGGTCTAAGGGATACATTGGCTCTCACAGAAACAGTTTGACTAGTGATGCAGTTTTCACAAATGATCACTCCATTGTGGCCTCATTACTTCTCGCCCCACTATCCTTTACCTTTCTCAGTTCTTCAAGGGCTGTTATACAATAGTTTTTTGTGTAGATTATTACAGGCTACTGATCAGCCTTGTTCACTACCTTCCATTTTTCTGAGTTTTG